TTGCTCTATATCAGCATGGTAATTAGTCGCGAATCTTTTACAGGACGTTGGAGAACCAACCTTAGCATTTTTTTTCATTTGTGGTTTTTCTAGGTAAATGTTACGAGGAGCCTCCCTTCGAACAGTTAGATCGCGTGGCTCTCACGCATGAGACCCGGTTTCGAATCCTCGGTGAGGCTAGAATTTTTTTTTCTGTCTGGAGCAAAATAAATCCCCACCTGCACAGTCTTGGCAACATCACTAGCCATGGGGCCATAAATCCTCAGGCTCAAAGACTTCCCCTGTTTACATCGCAAAAGTGGTATAATAAAGGCATTAGTTGGCAGTAATTTGTCATATATAAATGTGACTCCAGCATAATATGCCGGATGGGCCACTAGAGTAAAAAAATGGTTCCTATTCAATCCGTAAAGCGTAGTGATACTTCTTTGTGAGTTTATGTGTGTGTGTGTGTGTATGTGTATGTGTGTGTGCGTGCGTGCGTGTCTGCTTGTGTGTGTGAGTAAGTGATTGAGTGAGTGAATGTGTGTGTGTGTGTGAGTGTGTGTAAAAAGTGAACAAAAAGTAAAGGTCCCTTTCCCACGCCTTTGGGCGTATAGGGCATATAAGGCATATAAGGCTAGACCTATATTTTTACAGACCAATCGGCACAAGATGGCTGATGTGGTCAGCATCATGCCGGGCGTGTGTGTATAAATGTATACTTTTTCTCTCACTTTCGCGTACAACAGAGCGGTTAAACAGAGTTTATTCAATAGCCAGAATGTTGAACATTGAGATCGTCTCGGGCTGGACCAGTTGCTAGACCTCTGCAAGGTCAGATTCGGTCCGCGAGCCGCTAGTTGAATAGCCCTCGTCTACACAATTATCGCAAGTAACTGGTGGGGGAGGGGATGGGGGTGGAATTTGCCTGCCTTATCTGACATTTATTGCTATACGTACATGTGAACAAACCAACGGGCACGATAACATGAGCTTTACTTCCCAGATATTTTCTTGTACCAGTTTTAGAGTTGGTGTAAAATGTAACTCCATGTGGATATCAAGCAAGTTCGACAGACAGTCAGACAGACACACAACTAATACAGAAAAGAAGGAAGTAAGAAAGACGGAAAGAAAGAAAGAAAGAAAGAAAGAAAGAAAGAAAGAAAGAAAGAAAGAAAGAAAGAAAGAAAAGAAAAGAAAGAAAGAAAAGAAAGAAAGAAAGAAAGAAAGAAAGAAAGAAAGAAAGAAAGAAGAAAGAAAGATAGAAAAGAAAGATAAGAAAGACATAGACATAAAGAAAGAAAGAAAGAAAGAAAAAGAAAGAAAGACTAAGAAAAGAAAGAAAGAAAGAAAGAAAGAATAACTAAGATAGAAAGAAATAACGAAAGAAAAAGAAAAAAAGAAAGAAAAGAAAGAAAGAAAGAAAAGAAAGAAAGAAAGAAAGAAACATCAGAAAGAAAGAAACAAACAAATAAAAGAAAAAGAAAGAATAAAGAAAGAAAGATAAGAAAGAAAAGAAAGAAAGAAAGAAAGAAAGAAAGAAAGAGAAAGAAAGAAAGAAAAGATACGAAGAAAGAAAGAAAGAAAAAAGAAAGAAAGAAAGAAAGAAAAGAAAGAAGAAAGAAAGAACGAAAGAAAGAAAGAAAGAAAGAAAGGAAAGAAAGAAAGAAATAAAGAAAGAAAGAAGAAAGAAGAAAGAAAGCCCTCCCATAAAGAAAGAAAAAAGAAGAAAGAAAAGAAAAGAAAGAAAGAAAGAAAAAGAAAGAAAGAAAGAAAGAAAAGAGAATAAAGAAAGAAAGAAAGAAAAAGAAACAGAAATGAAAGAAAAAAAAGAAACAAAGAAAAAAACGAAGAAAGAAAAAGAAAGAAAGAAAGAGAAAGAAAGAAAGAAAGAAAGAAAGAAAGAAAGAAAGAAAGAAAGAAGAAAGAAAGAAAGAAAGAAAGAAAGAAAGAAAGAAAGAAAGAAAAGAAAGAAAGAAAGAAAGAAAGAAAGAAAGAAAAAGAAAAGAAAGAAAGAAAAAGAAAGAAAGAAAGAAAGAAAGAAAGAAAGAAAGAAAGAAAGAAAGAAAGAAAGAAAGAAAGAAAGAAAGAAAGAAAGAAAGAAAAAGAAAGAAAGAAAGAAAGAAAGAAAGAAAGACGGGTAATTCTCAATCGTATCGGTTTCGGACATATTTGTAGAAATGTAGCCATCAGGTCACATTTGGTTTGACCCCAATGTAGGTGTGTCAAATAACAATACAGAAATGGTGAAGAGTTATTTTAGATAGTTTTATACGGTCAACCATATGACAATGTCTGACAACTTGCACCGTTGTTGTGGTTCAGGTGTTTTGGTAAAATGACTTTTTGTTTAATAGACGTTTGTTAGACGTTCAAAGCTGTATTCAATAATATACCTCGTACTCTTCTTCTTCTGCTGCTGCTGCAGCCACCGATGCTGCTGCTGCCTTTCCTCCTACTCTTTCTTTGTGTTTATTCTTATTCTAATGCTGTTGCTACTGCAGGGGCCCTAATATAACCCTATGTATGGGTTAAACGGGATTTTTGGGACCTGTCCCCGGGTTATCCTCTTCCGAATGGTGGCACTTTGTTTCACCGGGTGTTTATCGCTCAGTGTGATGTCCTGGTGGCGTTGAGCGTCAGTCAGTCATATAGTTTGAATGTCATCTACAGACCCTTAAAAACAAGACGACAACACAATGATTGCTATCGGCGCTTGAATATTTATTTATTTATTTATGCATGTATTTAGTTATTTGTTATTTATTTGTGAATGCTAGGATCAGTAACCTACTTTCCGCATCTTACAAAACAGTTACATGACTTGAGCAAACAATCGTGTTATCTCCCTGTTAGTTTCACCCCATCTGTTGTCATTGTTATATTATTTCTACGTATTTCATTGTAAAATGCCTAGACATGGTTGGTTAGTTGCTTTCTTGTGAATCCCTTGGAAGACTAGGTTCTTTAGCTCGATGTGTCGACGTTCAGGTGCTCTGAACCATGAAAACAACTTGAATCTATCAAGGGCGGTTGTTACAGAGACGTCACTGCAAACATGGTATCAAATCACCATCTACCCTGGAATTCTGGTGTATTGCAAACTCAAAACATCTATAGAAGTGAAACAATACCCCTTTCGTACTTTGCTCTTATTTATCTCTGAGGATTCCGTTGTAGAATGACCAAACCGCTTGCCTCTACCTGGCTTTGAATGTTATCTACAGTTCATGCATCTCCATTGATCTCCGTCCATTGTCCTCTGGATCAGTTCCACCGATGATATCCCTTCTTGCCACCGTCACAATCCATCCGCCATCTTCTCTCTCGGTCTGCTTCTCCCTCTTCCACCGTTGATCTTCCTAGTTGTCACAATATCCAGCAAAGCCTCCCCTTCTCATCACATGACCAAAGAACAGTGTTTGTATTTTCCCTATCGCTATGTATACTCATCTTTTCTCATTAGCTTCTTTCAAGCAATATTAGCTAGTTACTCTAAGGGATTCTTAATATTCGTCTGGGGAACCACATCTCCGTCGCCTCCAAGTTCTGTCTAACTTGTGCATTCACAAAACAAGATTGACTACCATACAACAGTATAGGTTCTACATAACATTTTAGTACTCTCTTTCAGATATTCAAAGAGAGGGACCTGTTGCACAAAATGTTCTTCATTCTGTGAAATGTAACTTAGCCTGGCCTATTCCGCTCTTAATTTCTGAACACATCTTCCGCCATATATTGTGATTGTACCCAGACATTTGAATTTATCGACATGGATCAAAGTTTCAACTTTTACTTTAATATCACACTGTGTTGGTATTTTTTTTAAAATTAATTATTATTATTATTTTAACCATTACCTGTGTTTTCTTTATATTCAAGGACATAACCTTTTTTTTTTTTTTTTGCTTTTTCAGCTATCAATACTGTGTCATCGGCATAACGTGTGTTGTTTATGTTATATAACCTTACACTCTAATTCCTTATGTATCTTTGATCTCTCGAAATGTCATCTTGCTATAGAGAGTGAGAAAAGGTCAGGTGACAAGACACATTCCTGTTGTAATACTTGTTTGATCTGTTCATATGTGCTCACTCTATTTCCTTTTTTAATAGCTGCCATTTGCTTCTAATAAATATTTGTAATTATTCTCAGATCTTTCCATCAATGTTTTTATCTGTCAATATGTTCCTCGTGCTGGACCTGATCACATGATTTTGTGTAATCCACAAAGCATAAATGCAAGTTCTTCTGGGTATCTATCTTTGAAAAACGCTAGTTAGATTTCAGTCGCAACTAGAACTATTAGCATATCAACTTTCCGTTGGCTATTATAGAGGAGGCGAAGCACATGTGAAAATGGCCTGAGTGTTCATGATTTGGGAGTGGGGGCGCTAATCTTCTCTTAAATTACTTAAATGTATCAGTGTGTTTTTGTGTCAATATGCACCTCTGTCCCTTAGAGGTTAGTGAGATCGCTTCACAGTGCAATTATCGATGTTTACTAGGATTTGGTCGGCTCTGTGGCTAAGTCGATGCGAACGCTTCGTAAGGCCGGGATGCCGGGTCGATCCCAGCTGCGGGCCACACGCCTTGCGTTGGTTTAGACAGTGGTAGCAAGAAAGCAGACCGTCCAGAAAGCAATGGCAAACTAAATTTGCCTAGAAAAACGACACAACAGCCAGGGACTGTTGTGGTTGGTTCTGCAACGTCCTGTAAAGGAAACGCAACAAACGTTAACTGGGATTTGAGTGCCATGGTGGACAGCTTAAAAAAAAAGGATAAAACATGTTCGTAGCTTTCAGACAGAGGTAGGAGCGTTGTACCGTGGAAGAGACTAGGGGAAAGGGATGGTCTACAGGGTAATACTCCCATGGCTAGCAGTAGATACATTAAAGAAACTCCAGTGTGAAGACTGCAAATATTTCTCATGTTTATCAGGACACTTCATTGGAGATGTCCTTGCATGTGTTGCAGATTCCATCATGGAGGACGATTCTCTCGTGTCCAGGCTGACAGATGTGGAGTTTGAGGAGTCTGCAGTCTACATCGTGCAGGATCGGCCCTGTGAAGCTTTCTGCACCAACAGAGCTCAAGCGTCGCTGCCCCGAAATCTAACCTTACGGCCTTCATTGATATACAAGGATGTGAGTATGATTTAGGATGTATAGTTGTCTCTCATCATTATGATCATTATTATCAAAAACAGCATCATCATTGACAACAGAGAGTAAAAGGGTGAAGATAAAAGACAGAGATATATGTATATATGTGCATACGTACGAATATGTAACGAATGTATGTATGTATATAGTAAAAAGGTAAGTAAAATAAAGATCCCTTATCACGCTTTTAAGCGCATCGGGC